CAGTTTTTAGGTAAAGATCAGATTGTAAGATGTAATATTGCATTTATATATGGTTCCTGTGGGGGTACCTTGCTGTAATTGGGTATGGTTTGATATTTCCAGGACCTCTCCATGGATTTCCTGGACTATATCCTAAACCCATTGAGAAAAGCAGATGGTGGGGGTTGAAGAGCTCAGTCTAGGCTGCTTTTGTTGGCTTTTGGGGTTTGTTTTACCCAGGTAGTCTTTGGAAAGGGGGTCCAGGGCTCCTTTTGCAGCTTCAGTCTTGTGTGGCAGCGATGGTTCCTTGGTCTTTGATCCTCGACCCTGCTCAGCTGCTCACAGTTTCTAAATTGTTGTTTAGCACAGTGGTTGTATTCAGAAAATGCCCCAAATCATAGAATCATGGAATATCCTGGGCTGGAAGGATCACTGATCCAACACAGACACCCCAGCGATCCCACCCTGTGCATCCCTGACAGCATTGTCCAAACGCTCCTGGAGCTTTGGCAGGATTGAGGCCGTGCCCATTCCCTGGGGAGCCTGGGCAGTGCCCCAACACCCCCTGGGGGAAGAACCTTTTCCTTTTTTAAAATTTCTTTTTCCTTTTAAGGCAATGCTGTGAAAAACATTTTAAAATTAGTTTATTTCAATAAAAAATAACGTGAGTAGCTAACCAGAAGACCGCTATGTGGCCATCTGTTTGAACAGAGGATTTCTGAACGTGTTTCCCTGAAGAGGAGCCAGGTTCTTGGCACTGATGGGGGGGAAAGAAAGGGAGAGAACGTGCATGTGTGAGACAACTGGCTGCTGTTGTCAAAACGCACATGTCACTGGGAATATGAAATCCAGGAGCTGCCTGAGTCCTTCAGAGCTGCCTCAGCCCTCCCTTCTGTCTTGCCCTGCCACAGCAGACGTTCAGCTGCTGCCTGTGCCTGTCGTGTGGCCAGCCCCCCGAATTTATCCTTCTCACATGGCTAAATAACTTCATCCCCGTGGCAATTTGCTTGAATAAAGAGCCTGGTGAGCACAGTGGAGCCTGGGGATGCAGCAGCAAAATCAGCGGCTGCTCCGCTGAGCAATTACGCGCTGGAACGGCTCTCGGCGAGAGGAGGGGGTGGCCAGGCTGTCAGAGCCTGGATTAAAGCCTCCATGCCCAGAATTCCCCATGTCATACCCAGCTTTTGTTACAGAGAGCACAGATTGCCAGTGTGCGTGCAGTGTTTCAATTGAATTCCGATTTTCGCTGGTTCGTTTCTGCGCCGATGCCGCGCGCTCGCCTTGCGGAGGGTCGTGCATGACAATGAGATCAGGAAGCTGTGCTTGATCCCCCCTCTATTCCACTTTGTGCTGGGGCTTCAGCCAGGGCTGTAAATTGCTGATGCACAGCGTCTGTTTAGCTTTGTGTTGCTCGAAGCTGTGTATTCACGTGGGGCATGTTACAGCAGCAGTGTGGCCAGGTGCGCCTGGGAGAGCCGGGCTGGTTTGGGGGCTGCCTCATGAGTTTGGGCACAAGGAGGAGATTTGTCACCTGCAAAAATCCCGTGCTCATCTGACAACGAGCCTGTGGGAATGGCTACTGTTCTAGCCCTGGAAAACTGGGAATAAGTGCCTTGAAGTGCCCGTGGTGCCCCATCCGTTGGCCACCAGCCGTCCCCTCCCCTGGCAGGTACATCTGGGAGCTGAGCAGCTCCCTCATTAAAAAGCTGCGTGTGTCATAATCCTGATGGGACCAGAGCAAAGGCAGCCACCTCCCCTGGGAGTGGTGCTGTGGGTTTTGAGCTCGTTCTCTGTGTTACGAAGGTCATTTCTTTGTTCTCAGTGCTGTTGGTTTAGACAGCAATTCCTGGCTCTGTCACACAGGCAGATATTTAGGAAAATAGGGGGTATTTTGTGGCCCTGGGACAGTGTTTGGCTTCCTCATGGGTTGCTGTAGTCCAGTATTTGAACGGGCTGATCTCTGTAATTCCTCTTTGCCTGTGGTGCTTTACAAACCCCTGGATATATTAAAAACAGAACAAAAAAAGAACGTGGTGCTGTCCAAGCCGAAGCACCCCAAAATTGCTGCGCTTGCCCAAACTGCTCATGGCTCTCATCAAGGCTCATCAAATCAAAGGAGAAGCAGTTCATTGTTTGCCTTAATCCTACAACCACAGATACCTGCAGGGTACAGCCTTGCACTTTCCATTCTTCACTGTTTATGCTTTTGTTTGTGTAAATTCTTGATATTGAGGTAGGTTTTCTTAATCTCTGTCCTGTGCAGCACCTAATTTTGTGCTGTGCACATGATAAGGGCTCCTTAATGGTGTAGAAGCACAAGTTATTAGGGATGAGTCCTGCTGTGAGCTGAGATTTGCATAAAATAATTCTTACTCGAGGGATGAGCGTGAGTTTGCTGTTCCATTTCTGAGCCTTCAGATTTGTTTGGAAATATTTAGTGCAGCTTGGAAATGCAGGGCATTCTTTGAAAGAGTTTGGTTGGAGGGGTGTTAAATTCAAACTGTTTGTCGTGAAATACTTAAATCCAAACAGAAATCAAGGATTGTGAGGATGTGCCTGTTCCAGCTAATGAGCACATCCTGCTTTCAAGGGTGAAGAAGGCACTTGAGCAGATTTGAGCTGACTGTGGCTGTTGGCTGCAGCAGGGTGACAGCCCTCGGTGAAGTGGGGCAGCACGTCAGGATCTGAATTTAATCCTGGAAATAACAATAATTGCACTGAGCTCCACGCCCAGTGGTTTTGGGGAAGGCAAGGAGCAGGTCCCCAAGGTGATCATTTAGTGTGGATTCACACAGGAGAAGAGCTGCTGGCTAACTTGCACTGCATTTATTAAATTCAATACCCTTTTCCAAGCTGCTCTCAACAGTCAAATCATGAAGAGTAAATCTTGTAGGGCTCACATTTGTGAGCTGTACACTGAATTATTTTTTTTTATTTTTCAATTCTCTGCTGAAGCTTTTTAATCCACCCTGTCTGTACCTTCTTTGTGCCTCTGAGGAGTGTTTGAAGGTACAGTGAGACTGGCAAGGCATCCTGTTGACCATGGGAATAATGAGTTGGCTCCCAAACACATTCGGTGTGTGGTATTTTGTAATTAGCTGGGGGAACTTGCAGTGTTTAAAAAAAAAGGAAATAGGAAATGGCAATTAGGCAGAACTTTCCCTCTCTGATCAGGCATACAGTGTATTTCCATTGTTACTTACAGCTTTAAAGCCCCTCTCTGGAGGGCTCTATATTAAGTAATTCATCTTAGTTAACACTTCATTGGGGGAAGCACGTTCAATCGACAGCGTATAGAAATAATGGCCTGATTAATAGAAATCCAGTTCCTGAGAGCTGAGGCTGTTTCCTTTACAAGTTCTACACTTGTTTGGGATTGTTCTTTTCAGGTTCAGTAATGATAGATATCTATCTGCCACTTGATCTGCGAGGGCAGGATTGAAATCCACTTTGTGAGCGAGATAATGAAAATCCATTCGTGGCTCTTCTGCTCCTTCTGTGCCATTAAACAACCAGAAATGTGATAGTCTTCATTGCTGCATGTTTAATACTGCTAATAGGATAAGTTTATAAAGAAAAGATTAAAAAAAAAAACCCAGCACAAACCCACAAAAACCTCTAATTCTTACATCTTTTATTAAACACAAAATGTGTTTCAACATGCTTGAACGTTGCTGTGGAGTAATCTTGGTTTGAAGGCTGCTGTTGTGGTTGGGCTGGGGGAATGGTGGGTCTAAGCCAGCACTGGGTTCCCCTAAGGCAGCAATTTTTGTGCAGATTGTTGTGTTTTGAGGATCAGCATTAGCCTGGGAGTGCTGACTTACTGACTTACTTGCTTGGGGAGCTTGTTTGGAGAGCAAGGCAGAGCTGTTGGCTCTCTACCACTGGTTTCTGTGGAATGACACATTTTGGAGCTGGGAAATAGGGCTCAAATCAGAACCAATTCCAGTTTTTACAAAGAGGACAAAGAGAGAAGTTTGGGGTGTGTTAGTGGATGTGTTTTATGTCAGCATGGTAAGCTCAGCTGCGAGGGTGGGTGATGCTGAGCTGGAGGCCTTGGGGCTTTGGGGCTTAGGTGGGGAGATAAGAGTGGGTTTGCTCCAGGAGAGGAGCCGAAATGCTCCCCAAGCTTAGGCCAAGCTTGCTAATCCTGGCTTAGGCTCTGTCACACCAGAAGCCCTAAATGGGATTTGGCATTTCTGAGAGAGGCAGCAGAGCGCCCAAAAGACACTTTTAGCCCCAAAAGCAGCAATCCCAGCCCTGCCCGGGGTGGTGGCTGAGTCCCTGTGAGCCAGGGGACAGGAGGTGACAGAGCAGGGCTGGGCTGGGAGCCTCCTTGGTGCTGCCAGGCACCTCCTGATCTGCACTCCCTGGAAGTCCAGGAGCAGGAGCGGGATGTGGTTGGAGGCTATGGCTGCCCCCTCTTTATCCAGGTGTCCAGAGCAGGTGTGGGATTCCTCCCAAGCCAGCAGCACAGGCTGCTCTGCTGGCTTAGCTCATCTCTCCAGAGGCAGCACCATCGTAGCTTTTTGTCTAACATGTGTGTGGTACCTTCCCCTAACTGTGGTGTGTGAGTGTGGAGCTCTCATCCCATAACATCCCACTCTTGTGTGCTCTGAGAACTGGGCTTCCCTTGGGGAAATGCTGGGTGCCACAGGAAACTGCTTTTGGGGACAAGACACCATGTTTGTGTGCACTGCCTTTCTTGCAGACACTTCTGACAGTTATTAAAAACAAAAGTGACACATACAGGGATTAATTGTATGTATCAACTCAAGGACACCTAACGTGGGATGTAATGCAATTCCTGGCTTTTCCCCACTATATATATATTTTTATATATATAAATAAGACAAGTACCTGCCTTAACTTGAAGTAATTCCCATGTATGTGCATATAAACCTCAGTAACACTCCAGTTGCTGGTGAATTTGCAAAGAGCTTTTGTTTCCACAAGCGAAGCCTTTTTCTGTTGTGTGTTCTGTCCCTCTGCTGTGTGTAACCAGCTGCTTTGTGTGGCAGGTGGGAGATTCAAGAAGGAGATAGTGGTTGATGGCCAGAGCTACCTGCTGCTGATCAGAGATGAAGGAGGCCCTCCAGAGGCACAGGTGAGCCCCAAGCCTCCCTTCCCTTGTTTTTCACAACTTCCTTTCAAAGAACTGGCTCTGCTTTGTTGTGCCCTGGCTGCTTCTCATCTTCCTGCCAGGAGAATTCCAGCATCACCCTCAGGTGGAAAAGATTTTGTCCAGCAAATGGTTGGGATTTCAGCTACGATGGATGGATGAGTGTGTGTAATGAGTATTTGGGATTCTGACTGAGACTGTGCAAGTCAGGATATCCAGCTCATTTACACTGAATTCCCAAGCACTGTGCTTCCCCTGGTGACACATCAGGATTTCATAGAAGCACAGGATGGTTTGGATAGCAGGGACCTTAAAGCTCATCTCACTCCTGCCCCTGCCATGGCAGGGACACCGCCCACTGTCCCAGGCTGCTCCCAGCCCCATCCAGCCTGGCCTTGGGCACTGCCAGGGATCTGGGCACCCTGTGCCAGGGCCTGCCCACCCTCACAGCGAGGAATTCCTTCCCCCCATCCCATTTAACCCTGCCCTGTGGCAGTGGGAAGCCATTCCCTGTATCCTGGCTCTTGTCCCAGGTCCCTCTCCAGCCCTCTGGAAGGAGCTCTGAGGTCTCCCTGGATCCTTCTCTTCTCCAGGTTGAACACCCACAGCTCTCCCAGCCTGTCCAGGGCACTGGCTGTGGAGAAGACACTTGGGGGTTTGAGTGCTTGACCCTTACTCTGTTTTGGGCAAGAGTTTGCTCATGTGCTGCTTAAATCACCTCAGATTAAAGCAGCTGTGCTGCCTGCAGCAGCATCCTTGTCTTGGGCACCCTCCTCCTCCACCTCTCCTCACCTGGGCACTGGCAGGATTTCCTGAGTGCTGGCTGCTGCTGCCTGGCTTTGCCCTGCTCTTCCGGGAGGGATCAGCTTCCAAACAAGCAATAATGGAGCAGCAGGAGCTGCCAAACAGCTGAGGGGGAGCAGTGCCAGCAGCAGCAGCTCGGGTCTGAATGCAGCAGCACAGCTCCAGGAGGGTGAGAGCGTGGGGGAAGGTGCCAGGACAAAGGGGAAGGGAGAGGACGAGGAGGAAATGAAGGCTCAGAGAGACATCCTGGATGGAAGGAAGGAAGGAAGTCACAGGGCAGAATAAAGCACTGGCACATCTGGCAGCAGGAGCAACAAGGACAGCTCTGTCTGGGGCTGGCAGGGATTTGGCTGGAGCAGCCCCTGCTTTCCAGCCTCTGATGCTTAGAGAACATTCACTCATCTAAAATGTGAACAGTGCAGGTGCAAAGGTGCATGCAGCAATCTGAGATGGTTTGTGCCTGGCTTTGCAGAGCTCACAGGAGCTGGCTGCAGGCTGATGAACAGCACGGGGTGTGCTCCTGGCATGTGCCAGGTGAATGTGGGGCTTTGGCTGCTGTTGTCCAATGGAAGGTGTGCACAACAGCCCCTGGGCTGGTATGAGATGAGCTTTAAGGTCTCTCCAACCCAGACCATCCTGGGATTCTGTGGTGGCTGAGATTTGTTCTCCATCCTCAGGATTTGCTGAAGAGGTCTGAGGTGTCAGTGCTGCCTCACCTTTCAGCACAAGGCTTTCCTGTAAATTCCCTTTGGAGTTTTTGGGTGTCATTTCAAGTTACATGTCTATTAAAAATCTTCAATCTGTTCATTAATTCCTGCAATGAAAAGTTTGCCTGTGTGTTCATGAATAATTGGGATTGAATTCCACCTGCAGTAAGTAAGGAGCTGACATGTGGAGCTCTGGCACTGGGTCATGGGTATTCCCCAGGTTACTGTTCCCTTCTTTTTGACAGGGAGGTAGAAAAAACAAAACTTCCCTCAAGACTCTTTTTGTGGATCTATGATCTCTCCTTTCTTTGCTTAAGATAAAATGGTTCAAAGACAAAAATAATTCAATTTTCTATTGTAAAACCAAATTAACGTAGTAACTGACCTACAATGAGCTGCTGCATGCAACTTTTTAAATTTAAAACATTTTTTACAATATGGTTTTGGGCTTGCCTTGAACTAACAGCTCTGCTCACTCACAGTAATAAGTCTGAGAGTGGATTTCTATACCAGCAGCTGATTTATCCTTGTTTCAAGCCATTTCCTGCACAGTACTCTGGATGAGACATCCAGGGTTTCCAGACCTTGTGTTTCCCAAAATTCCTCTGGTTTCTTTGTAGCACAGTCTGATCTCCACAAAGATTAAGCTGCATTTCAATATGAAAAGTGAAATAAGGAATTGCTGGAAATGTTTTGTGTCTGCAGGAACTGCACAGTGTAAATCTGTGGAGTGTTTTGAAATAATCTTTATTAGAAGGCTGCTGTACACACTGCTGAAACATTCAGAGGGTTTAGAAAGCCTGTTGGCTTCCAAATGATGCCTTAAGGACATTCCCAGTTGTTGGGAAGAGTCCTTGGCATGATGCTGCTGAGTCCAGTCAACAAAAACCATTTTATAATGAGACCCAAGCCCACATCTCCCAAATAATGATGCTGCCTCCAGTTCCTGTGGTTTCATCTTCTGGTTTGAACAGTTGAACAGTGTGGTGGTTGACCTTATTCTGGCAGGGACTCTGCTGTGTGTTAACCAGCCCTGTCCTTCCCCTCTGGAAGTTTGTCCTCCTGACCGTCTTGAAAACCTCAAAACAATTTTTTGGTCTATTTTTACACCATAACAGCGCAGGCAGTGTTTGCTTTCAATACAATCATCATGAATATGCAGAGCCTTTCCCCAGTGAACCTCTGTGTTCAGTGTGTCCCCTGGCACGTTGTAGCAATAACATAACAAAGCATGAAATCCCCTGGCTGAAGCTTTGTTTCCACTGCTCTGAATTTGGGTAGGACTGGAGTCACTTAGGGGAAAATAAAGGCAGTGAGGTAAGGTGGAGGTTTTTCCTGATGTCCTGTTCATGTTCACTGATGAGTTAAATGTCTTCATTCCCTTGTGAGCTAAGAGCTTCTCACTTGCCTGGCCACTGAGGAGCACCTGCCTGTCTCTCAGCAGGCTGCTGGTGCCAGGAGAGCAGTTTGCTCTTCACTGGAAGCACAAGGAGGCCCTTGGTGCTGCTGCCTCAGTGACAGTGTCTGTGTGGTGGAGAATTGCAAGGCTCAAGTTAATGGGCTTGGGATGTGAGAGTTCCTAGCCATGCCTGTCTGGCATGCATGCAGATGGCAGCGTGGGGGCTGAGCCAGCAGCCTCAGCCTGCTGTGTTTGCTGGGCATCAAACCCAGTGTGCACCCACAGTAGCTGCTTACACACCCCACTGAAGCAGGGCTGCTCATGTGGGGAAATGCCTCGTGTGTCCCAGATCCTCATGGTGTGCAGGGTGATGACATTCATCATTTTAGCAGCTGATCCTGACCCCGTTGAGGCCTTTCTGTGTGTGAGTTTTTCTGGTGTGTATTTCCCTTGCAGGAAGGTGAGAACGTTTCTCTCTTGGTTTTCCTTCCTTCCTTCCCCCTCCTCGCTGCTCTTCTCACAGTTGGCCTTTCCCATTTTTCCCCTGCAGTTTGCCATGTGGGTGGATGCTGTCATCTTTGTGTTCAGCTTGGAGGATGAGGTCAGCTTCCAGACCGTTTACCACTACTACAGCCGCATGGCCAACTACCGCAACACCAGCGAGATCCCCATGGTCCTGGTGGGCACCCAGGGTAAGTGCGGCCCTGGCTCCCAGCTGGAACGCTCTCAGCTGGCCCTTTCAGACCGTATTGACTCTTCTAGCATGGCAAAGCCATGTCCTGTCCTTTCCCCCTTGCTACAGGGCTGTGGCATTGCAAGGACAGTGTTTGAGGTGAGAGGAAAATGTCCTGGCAGCTCGCCTGGAGAGGGAGAGTGTAGGACCTCAGCAGAGAAGAAAGAGGGGAAGTTTAGGTCAGATATGCACAAGAAATTCTTCACTCTGAGGGTGGGCAGGCCCTGCAGAGGATGCCCAGAGCAGCTGGGGCTGCCCCTGGATCACTGAAGTGCCCAAGGCCAGGTTGGATGGGGCTTGGAGCAACCTGGGACAGTGGGTGGTGTCCCTGCCATGGCAAGGGGTGGAACGCAATGAGCTTAAAGGCCCCTTCCAATCCATTCCAGGATTCTATGGCTTGCAAGGCAATTTTAAATAATATTTTCAACGTGTGCTGGTGGTGGTGGTTTCCTTACCCAGCAGGGAGATGCCCTCATTGAATTTGGGCAGGTAAATCAGTTGTGTGGGGAGGTTCTGCAGCCAGACCAGTTTCCATGAGCTTGGCAGTCTGGAAGTGTTCAACACCCTGGCATTGCTGAGAGGCAGAAGGGTGAGTGAGAGGTGGGAAACGTCCAGCAGCAGGGTAGGAGGCAGAGGTGAAGCCTGGCCTCAGGCTGTGACCCTGGAGACCTCTGTAAATCAAAATGCAGCTTTTTGCCACCTGAGCCCACCTGTTCCCCCAGTTTTTCTTTCTGAAGTAGCAGCTGTCTTGAAGGGAAATATAGCAAGGGAAAGGTACCTAAAATATTTCAGTTTCTTTGGCATTTGAGTGGTTTTTGAATATTCTCTGCTCCTTGTGCCAGCATAGCCCAGTAACATTTCACCAGTTTCCCATCCTGTGATTGGTTTGCTGCGTTGGTGGAGCTGAGGCTGTTCTGTTCCTGTCCATGGGATCATGAAGGTTGGGAAAAAACCCTTTTAAATCATGAAATCCTGCTGTTCCCTTAGCACTGCCCAGGCCAGCATTCAACCATGTCCCTCCACACAGTTTTTATGTCCTTCCAGGGATGGTGACTCCAGCACTGCCCAGGGCTGGACAACCCTTTGGACACAATTTGAGGCCATTTCTCCTTGTCCTGTCCCTTGGGTACAGAGCCCACCTGGCTGCACCCTCCTGGCAGGAGCTGTGCAGAGCCACAAGGTCCCTCCTGAGCCTCCTTTGCTCCAGGCTGAGCCCCACCAGGTGGCTGTTGTGTGTTAGAGGTGTTGTGAATTGTTCTTAGTTCAATTCTGGGCATTCTCCCTGTCACTGTGTCCCAGTGGTTTTGGGGGTGTCGAAGCTTTTTGGTGTTTTTCAGCCACGTGATGAGGGAGCATTTGGCCTTCCCCTGCCTCCTGCCAGGGGTGACAGCACAGAGGGGATGTGTGGGCAGCAGGGGAGGAGCAATCACAGCGCAGCTGGAGGGAGGAAACAGATGATAAGAAGGAAAAGGGGAAGTAGGAACAGAAAAAGTCTTAGGACAGCAGAAACCCCACCAAAAAGCAGAAAGGAGCTGCTCTGAAGGGCCACGGTTTGGGCTTGAAGCTGGAGTTGAAAAGGTGAAGGGGAAACATTTCTCCAACTTTTTTATTTCTTTGTGCCCTTCCGACCCCCTTCTGGGGTATGGTTTGCCATCTCCTTCCTGTTACTTCCAGAAAAAGAAAAGTTCATTTTCTGTTGGAGCATTGATGCAAAGGGAATTATTAAAAAAGGTGGAAATAATGCTAACTCTAGGAATAAGCATCAGGAAAAACCACAGCTTTTGGTCTGTGTTTTACAGTGAAATAAAAGATTGAAATACATAAATACACTTGTTAAAATACATATTTGAAATAAACCTTTCATATAATAGAATCCCAGAATGGTTTGGGATGGAGAGCACCTTAAAGCTCATTTAATTCCAACCCCGTGCCATGGGCATGGGCATCTTCTACTGGCCCTGGCTGCTCCAAGCCCTGTCCAACATGGACTTGTTGGTTGTGTCAGGTGTTCCTGAAATGAGATGTGCAATGAAATCTTTCCCACAGCATGAACACTTGCAGACGTTCCCCCCTGGCTTCCAAGGGCAGCTCAGTGCCCCAGGCTGAGCCCCCTCGGGACAAGGAGCCAAACTCGGGGGCTGTGCTGTTCGGGAGCTGAACCCTCGCTGTTCCTTTCTGGGCACATGCTACCAGCGCCCTCTGCTGAGAAATAACGGCCTCCTGCCTTTCCTAATTGCTGCTCTATTTTTGTTAATTGGCTCTGATGAGGAGGTAATGACAGCAGCAGTTGAGGTCTGGTCCCGTTGTGCCCGGGCAGAGCCTCACACACACCGCTGCAAGAGGCGCTGAGTCCATGTTCAGAGGCTTTTTTAATGCTTTTCTCCCGAAGAACAAATCTGTGTTGCTGCTGTGGGTGGTTACAGATTTTAAGGAAGGCTTTCTGGGCAGCTGTGAATGCTGAAATTATTGCCTGTTGTAGAATCCCAGAATGGTTTGGGCCCAAAGGGACCATGCAGTGCCACCCACTAAGCCAGGTTGTTCCCAGCCCCATCCAGCCTGGCCTGGAACACTTCCAGGCATGGGGCAGAAGAGTAACACAATACTCCTGGGGGAAAAAAAATTCCTTTTCAAGGTCTGTTAATAAGATTATCACTTCAGATAGTATCACCTTTATATACAGAGTTCATCACTATGATGGAGTGGCAAGGAAGAAGCTTCTCCTTTGTCTCTTCTGCTGTAAGGTTTTTCCAGCTCCTCTGGATAAGCTCTAGAACTGAAATTTCAGCTTTCATGAGAAGAAGATCTTGGAGAGAATTCCAAGTATGATAGTTTAGAAGAATACAATTTTTATCAGTTTTGCAGTATGTCGGTATGTTCCTACAACGTCTCTGGGAGCCTTTACAGCAATTTGAGAAAGTAATTTACAATTAAGTTCTATTTTTTTAAAATACAACATGTTCAATATTTCACACTCTATAAGTACTAATACTTTCAGAGATGTAAAAACCATTTGACATGTTTGTACTAATCACCCACTTGTTTCCCTAAATATATTTTACATCAGAGCTCATGCTCTTTCATGTGATTGTGTATTTTTTTTTTTTTGGCAACAAATGAGCTCAATATATGTATTTAAGGAAAGCAAATTCCCCCTGGCTTTTAGAATCAGTGTACTGGTGATTTTCATAAGGAAATGTATGACAGAGTGATGTACACCCTGTTTCATGGTTTGTATTTAAACTCACTGCTTGGTATTGGTGAATATGAGAGGAGCTGGCCTGAATTGGCAGCAGGGCAGGTTCAGGTTGGATATTAGGGAAAATTTCCTCATGGAAGGGGTTGTCAAGCATTGGAACCATCCCTGGAAGGGCTCCAAAACCACGTGGATGTGGCACGTGAGGTCCCGGGTCAGTGGGTTGTGGTTACACTCGGTGATCCCAGAGCTCTCTCCCGCCTTCCCCGCCCCTCCTGTGCCTCTGTGAGCCCCAGGCTGGCGTTTCCCAGTGACCATTAATGGGTGTTTTCCCCTGTGGCCCTGCAGATGCCATCAGCTCCACCAACCCCCGTGTCATCGACGATGCCAGGGCCCGGAAGCTGTCCAACGACCTCAAGAGATGCACTTACTACGAGACCTGCGCCACCTACGGGCTCAACGTGGAGAGAGTCTTCCATGACGGTACCCAGCACACCGCCCACCCTCGGGCTGTCCTCCCTGAGCAGCGACCCTTTGGGATAGCTCCGAGATTGGCCTGCTCAGTTAAAGAAAACCCTGAGTTTTGGGCATTTTTGTTGTGTTTCCTAAGAGGGCTCCTCAACTTTCCTTAACACATCGTATGTGCACTGATGTGTTCCCCACCAGCACCTTTAGTCTTAAGCATCTGAAGCTATTTTTAGTCCTTATTTAATTTTCAGTTTTCTTTGGTGCTTGCTTTATGGTAGCAAAGTTTTCTCTGCTTTGGTTTTAGTGCTCGTGGAGAGGCTGAGGGGCTGTTTGTGCAGAGTAGCTGGAAATGCAACATTTGAGCACTGTAATGTTCGTGGGGTGTTAAAAATGGAGAGCTGGGTTGGATGTTGGGAATTAGGAATTGTTCCTGTGAGGGTGGGCAGGCCCTGGAACAGGGTGCCCAGAGCAGCTGTGGCTGCCCCTGATCCCTGGCAGTGCCCAAGGCCAGGCTGGATGGGGCTGGGAGCAGCCTGGGATGGTGGGAGGTGTCCCTGCCATGGCAGGGGTAACACAGGGTGAGCTTTAAGCTCCTTTCCACCCCAAACCATTCTGGGACGCTCTGAGAGTCCTGTGCAGGGGTTTTGATCCTTGTGGGTCCCTCTCAGATCAGGATATTTTATAATTTCGTGGTCCTGGAGTTGTATGAGATGGGATCTGTGCCCCCTCTAGTGGAATTGCAGTCAAGTGTCCTGGGGCTTGGCTGGCTTCTCTTCTCACCATCCTCCCCTTGTGGCTGAACGTGTCAGCCCCTCAGCAGCTTTCTCTGTCTAAAAACCTCCTTAATTGATTAAATTTTAATGCTTCTCAGAGCCCCTAGTTCTGGGGCCTCTTTTTGCCAGCTTCTCCTTGCAAAGTCCTGCTTTGCCTGTGCTTACATAAGGCAGTGTCACAGCAGCACCTTGCAATGGAGTGTGAAAAGACGCTTCAAATTGAAAAAAAAAAGGCAAAAATACCAAATTTTTACACGGAATAAAAAGGAGATACACTCTAATGTTTACATTCGAGAGGAAAAAAATAGTGGTAATTTTTGCATGGGATAAAAAGAGTCAAAACATTTGTACATTTTATGTGGAAAATACTGACCTGCACCCGTTTTTTACCCATGCTGTTGATCAGATTTCAGTGAAGAGCATTTCAAGCTGCATCTTCTTGCTTTGCTCCCTGTTTTCTGTTGAACCAGTTGCAAAAATTACTGTTTTGACTGCCTAGATTTTCTATATTGATTAGGAGTTTCAAAGAGCCATTAGGGGGTTTTGTTTAGCACATTTATTTTGGAGTGCTGGCTATAGTTAGATTGTTAATTATATATTCCAGGTCCTGGTGTTTGTGGCTCTGTCTGCAGCCTCCTTCTTGCTTTTTTCCCCCTTTTCTCAGAGATTTGGAGAGAAGTCTCTTGGCACAAAGCTGGTGTGATAAACTTGTAAGCTTTCAGGGGGCTCATTTGTCTCTCTTTGGTGGTAAGAAAGAATTGACAGCGCTCATGTGTTTTAAGAAATATCAGGGTGTTGTTTTGCCCTGGTGGCAGCCAACCAACTCTTTAATATTTGCCAGCTAATAGGATTAGAAATGCTTCTGTATGAATGGGTTTCACTTGCCAGACACGTCTGGGACCGAGTCCAATTCCTGATAATTTTTGCTGTTTGTTTCAGCAGGAAACAAAGCAACTTCTTAACCCCATTAAATGGGAGGGTGTGAATGAGCAGTGCAAGCTGTTAATAGGTAGCACTTGGTTAAATGTCCCTTGGTTTGTGCTGCTCTGGGGTGTTCAGGTTCAGCGTAGCTGTAATGATTTTTTTTGTGGTTCACATTAGTGGGGTAGTGGAAGGTGTCCCTGCCCTGGCAGGGGTTGGAACAAGATGAGCTTTAAGGGCCCTTCCAATCCAAACCATTCTGGGATTTTCTGATAAGAAAAGAAATAAAATTCACCTGAGGCTGTTCCAGCCCACAGACTTTTCTTCCACACACACCTGGTGGGTTTTGACACCAGTTCCTGGTTTGGGCTGCTTGGCTTGCAAGCTTAATTTAAAATCTCTTTTCTTGTTTCTGTGTTGTGCCTTGCTGTGATGTAGACGTACCTTCTGGAGGAAGAAATTGGAAATGGCATTGAAGAGCCTTTTACTCCTTCATTGCACACACTTTAGAAATTAAATTTCTAATTTGTCCCCTGCAAGCAGCTACTGAACTTAGTGGTCATCTGTTACGATTCTTCTGTGATAACTCATTTCCCATTTTCTCCACAGCTGAGTGGGAAAATAATTTAACTTGAATGATTATTGTTATTATGAAAAGGCTACTTTATTCTCGAGTTAAATCCAAATACCTCGTTTCCAACGCTTCATTACAGCTGATAAGCTCGCTATTGATTGTAACAGAGATGGAATCATAGAATCACTTGGGTTGGAAAAGGCCCTTAAGATCATCAAGTCCATTGGTTCATACTCAGAGGAAAGCTGAGTAAAGTGAAAGCCAAAATCCTCCTTCACATTCTGCTGTTTTAGAGGTTGTTTTTTAACCTTCAACCATGCCCCACTGAGGTTTAATCTCTCCTACTGTTGGGAAGGAAAACCTGAATTTCAGACTGAAGTAAAAAAGAGGAGTTCTGTGTTTCAAGGATTTAGTTTAGTAATATATCCAACGTTGGAGGATAATAAATCCTTTCTTATTTTTGGTGTATTAAATAGTTGAACAAAATTGCATTTTAAGAATTAGATAAATGCTAATAAGATCCATTTTTCTTCATATTCCCAATTCAGAATTAGAGATTCCCCCCCCTTCGCTTATCAGAACAGATTCTATCAATGACATTGAAAATGATTATTTTAATACTTCTTGTCAGCACAGTATTGTAATGACTGTGTACTGCCCCAGGATGCCTTTTTAATGGTTTAGCCTTCTTGAATTAGCTTGATGTACCATTAATGCATGAGAATTGCTTTTATTTCTGTTCATGGTGTATTCAGAACCACACATCTTGCCCTGCTTTATGTTTGGATTTTCCCTGACCCATTTAGCTGTGGGCCATGCAAGTTTCTGACACCACAAAGGAGCAAATGTTCAAATATTTAGAGGATAAAATTTTACTATCACAGGGTTTGAAACAAAAGGGTTTGAGTCTAACTTGGGTTCAGAGTTGAGTCTCTGTAGCTCAGCAGTTCAACCAAGGGGGTTTTACCTCATCTAGATGGCTGTAACACCCAGATTTTGATCTAATACTGCCCAAAATAACAATAAACCTGCAAATATTGAGGCAGGAGTTGCAGGTATTTGGTGGCAGAGGCCACTGCTGCCTCACAATTTGCACTTTGATCTGGTGCTGCCAGTATTTTTGGATGATTATTTGCAAATTAACTAGTCTTTTATTAAGGAACGTGTCCACTCTGTGCAAAAAAATCTACCAGGATATTTTATTTCCAGATCCAAATAGTATTTAGTGTGATGTTGAACAAAGGTGTCTTAAAAGGAGAACTTCAAAGCACCATTTCTCTGTTAAGGAATGGGAGATGACAAATTAATCCTGCAGGCATCGAGGGGAAGGACTGTCACTTGCCATCAGCATTATCAAGTCAGCATTTATAGATGTGTTTTCATTAGGAAATGTTCATCAGCCTAATGGGAAGTAAATAAAAAGGAAGTAAATGGGACCCATCCTGACAGCTGGTTTGGGAAGATCAGTGTGCACTTTGGCACTGGAGGTGGCCTGAGGGATTCTCTGCTTGGGGAGCTGGGCTGGTGGGGACCCAGTGCAGGGCAGGATGAGCCGGGGTTCCTTCAGCTCGGGATTGCCTTGGGTTTCCTTGGATTGCCTTCAGTTTCCTTGGATTGCCTTCAGTTTCCTTGGATTGCCTTGGGTTTCCTTGGGTTGCCTTGGATTTCCTTGGGTTTCCATGGATTTCTTTGAGTTTCTATGGATTTCCTTGGGTTTCCTTGGGTTTCCTTGGGTTTCCTTGGAGGTTTGGCTGAGGCCTCCGGGAATGTGGCACCTGCAGTGATGAGCTTCAGGATGGTCACACATGGCCTGGATCAACCTGCTGATTCTTCCATGCTTCACAACCGCTGGGAAATCGATGTTTTGGCTGGTTAGATATTTGTATCTTCCTGGTTTGTTTGTTTCGGGTTTTTCTAATGAGAAAGTGACGTGAGGGAGTCAATTTCTTTTCCTCGATATCATGGCTTAGCCTGGAAAAACCAACGCTCAAGCCCTGTTCCTTTTAAACCCCCCCCCCGTTCATTTTAAGTCATTTGAGTTTTAAGTTCGTTTTAAGGCGTTTGTTTGAAAGTAAAATTAACGTTTTGATTTTATTAATCCGCGTTTTGATTTTATTAATCCGCGGGAATAACGGAGCGCGGCGGGAGCGGCCGCCAGGGGGCGCCGGAGCCGCGGCGTGAGGGGCCCGTGATGGCGGCGGCGCCGCGGAGCCCTTCGGGGACATTCAAACGTTCCAAAATCGGCTGGGAAAAAAATATATATATAAACGTAAAAATCTGGTCACCTTCGTCTTTTGAGATGTTTCTGTTTGTGTTTTATTCTGAACTTGCTGCAGCTTTACCCTTGCTTATGCTTTGCCCTTACACTTAACTTTATCCATCCTGCCTGCCTGCAACTCTTATGGGCCATTAATAAATGAGAAGATTTAGTTTGGAAACAAGAATTTCACTCCACCTGTAACTCTTATGGGCCATTGAACAACAACGAGAAGATTTAGTTTGGAAACAAGAATTTCATTTTACCGTTCTTTGGGTTTTTTGGTGGCTGTTCTTGTTTGCACAGATATTTTTTCTGGTTTCCAGGGATCCAGGTAATCCCTCAGCCCCATTCAGCAGATGACAAGCTCTGGTGCCATAAATCAGACTGCATGTTGTTGTAGCAAGGCCCAGTGTGAACTAGCAGGATATTAGCCAATATCCAGATATTAACCAATATCTGAAATTTATATAACACCGGCTTGAAATGA